TATATATATATATATATATATTTTGTCTAAACTACCTATTATATCTCCCTTTAAATATTATACTCAATTAACCATGCACTAATTAGAGCATTAAGAATCTCTATATATAACTATCTATCTATACTATATTAAAAGCACGAAACCCCTTAGCATAATGTCGTTCGCCTTTTTTATCATTCAAAATCAGAATTTACATTGGACAGAATTATCATTTAATTATTTTTTCTAATTTTTAGGACTTTGAAATATACTAAAATTTTGATTATTAAGTGCTTCCTTATTTAAACTATGTAAAAAGGTCTAAAATTTAGATTTCAAAAGCAAATAAGATTTTACCAAAATTCGACAACATAATTATATGGACTTTGAACCAAATACTATTTGACTTTCCATTTAATTGATGTTCACTTTTTTGTGTGTGTATGCGATTTTCTTTTTCAAAAAAGAAAATCGTAAGTTGTTTCTTATATTTTCTTTTTGGGGTTCCAAGAATATTATTTTGTTCTGTCAAGACGATTCATTAATGCATTACTCTATATTTTATGGCTTATCTATTCTCATCTTATTCACGTACCTGAGATTTCTTCTTATCTTAGCCTTATATGCCATTACTTTTAATCCAATCAATTACAATACAGACCCAATAAATCAAGCAAAAATGAATAAGAATAATTTTGAGTAAGCTTATAAGAAGAATAAACTATTTTTTCTCAATATTCATCTAATTAGTCACTAGAATATGTACAATCTTAATAATCGCTTTACACATATATAAGATAAGAAAGTTATGTTTAATAAGAGTTGTATATTCTTTGTCTCACTTAAAATAAAATTGATTATATTATATAATCCATCATGCGTAATATGAAGTGCTTTAGAAAGACGTCATATGTAGACTAAGATACGACGAAGATATCATTATAAGAACAATTGGTATGTGTCGAGTTGCAACGCCTAATATGATTAGTAAGGCATAATAAAATAAGGATACAAGTTAGTGCTCTCATAAATCAAGTAAAATATGGATAACATATTTTCAGTTGTTGATAATCTATCATACTCAATTTTTTTTTAAAAATAACTAGTATTAGTACCCCGTGCAATACGCAGACACAAATCATATCTGTTTACCCTTAAAATTGGATAATAATTAAACTTATAATATGGTTCTAAGGACACGTGATTTCACTTAACACCAATTGATAAATATGAAGATTAATAACAGAAATAAACTATAAAATAAACCAAACCAGTGTTAGAATGAAACTCAGCCCTCAAGTTTGGTTACCCTCGAACTGGTTGATGTAAGAACAATCAAAATATAACAAAATGATGGACAATAGTATAAATGAAAAAGAAAATTATATAGCTTTGATGTCTGTGAACAATGTGTCCTTACAAATGGTTAATACTCCCCTTTATATAGTAGAGGAATTCTACTTATGGTATAACTCTAGTTACAGAAGGAAATCCAATGATTAGCTAATTAACCGTTCCTAGTTTAATCCGTTCCGAGATTTTCGCCATGATCTTCAACCAGTCGCGGATATTTTGCCTATCCGTTATTATGTTATCTTCGATCTTGCTCGATGCCTGTCTTATTCGGTCTCGATCGCTGCTGGTCTCGATCTCAACAGGTACCTCGAATCACGAACTTGGTACTTTGTCCTTGTACCTTGGTCTGATCCACTACGGGCCGACCTTCGATGCAGCTCCCCGGTCCCGGTCAGATAAAAAAATTATGCGGGCTCGGTTTTAATCGTGTACAGATAATCCCCTCATTTTTTGGAGTGTAATGACAAGAAACGAATTGAGCCTTCTATTTTTACCTCGACCTGCCATGACGTCACCGTCGTGATGTAAGCGACGGAAGTGACCGAAACGTCCCGTCAGTACAGTTTTCCAAGTCATTAATGAGTGTCAATTGGTGGTCGGCCACTAGTGCCTTTGAACCGTCGCCGTGAAATCAATAAATAGACCCCGTCCTCATTGATTCAAACTTTACTTTCACTTCCTTCTAATCTCCAAAGCTTTCACATCTCTTAAGTTCTTTCTTTTTACAAATCTTCAGGTTTTGCTGTTAATCCTTTCTCAAATGCCAAGTCCTATTATCTTCCTCTCCTTTAAACTTACACAAAAATGGCAAAAACATCGAAAATGGTACCACAAAAAGAAGCTGCTTCATCTTCCCAATTGGCCTGCGGAAAAACGTCGGTGGAACCTCGTCTTGAGGAATGCATTCCTGGGGGTGCACGCTAAACTCCGATTTCAAGATCGATAAAGCCTCGTCGATTCCTGGTCGATGCGAGCCAGTGTCGAGGTATATATGCTCGATAATTGAGAGATACCTTAAGCAGGTAAAGAAAGACTGCAATTGGGAGGGCAAAGAGGTGGTGATCCCGACCCCCGAAGAAGACATCACCACCCATGTGGAAGGGTTTCTAAGTGTTTACACTTACCCTTTCACACTGGCCCCCCTCGATCCCGTCATCGTTGATTTTTGCCGTCAATATCGAATAACCCTAGGCCAAATCCATCCTTCCTTTTGGCGAATTGTTATTCTGCTCCGATTCTTCGTGAGCAAAATCGAGGGGCTCCTTTTCACCCTCGATCACCTTATCATATTGTATAGCCTTCGCCTCTATCGAGGCGGGTTAATAAAACTCCAACGTCGGGCTACCAAGTGTTGTTCTCGAGCATAGACGAGGACAAGGATCAAGGCTGGATGGGCCGGTTCGTTCGAGTGAGGACTTCCGACCTAATCCCAGCCGAGAAGATGCCATTTCCTGAGAAGTGGAACATGAATCATAAGTACTGTCTCACTGTTAGCTTCCATGTATTATTTGTTCCTTTGTCTTTTCTCGTCGATGTCTTTTTCCATGATGTAGCGGTCTCTTGGATGCCCCATGCGATTCCCGAACTCGAGAGCTGGGTTCGAAACTTGGCCTCAACCTCTACATACGCCGAGCGCTCATGGCGCGAATTATCAAAGGGCCGATGGGAGGCCAAGACTCATGGTAAGCCCACTTTTTTGTGTATTTGATGATTCGATTAAGATGCCCTTCTTCTACTTATTCAATTTTTCTCGTGTACAGGCCTGGGAAAGTATGCGGTCATGAGGCCCCTATCTGGTGAGGAGGAGACTTCGATCCTGGTATCGAAATCGGCGAAGGACAAAAGGAGGAAAAAGACCTCAACCTCCGAGGATCCAGAACCTAAGAAGAAGAAGGCTCGTAAGCTGAAGAAGAACATCATCCTTCTGACCGAAGACTATGTTCGACGTCTAATGGAGGAAGAGGAAGAAGAGGAAAAAGACGACTCCGGGATGGTGGCCTGAGTGGTTATGAGCACCGAGGCCGCAAAGACCACTGAATCGGTGAATGCTGCAGAGGCTCCATCTCTAGATGAGGGGATCTAGGGAAAAGACTTTGGCGAAGTCCCCGAGTCATTGAGGATTGAAGATGCCTCCCACCATAATGAGCCAACGGTGGGTACGGCTGTAAAGGCTAGTCTCGAGCCCCCTCGAGATGGAGAGAATGCACCAAATGATCCACTCGAGGCAATAGAAATTGTAGGCTCACCTCTGCTCCTCTCGTTTTCTGAGGAGATGATTCAAGAGGCTCGGGCCTTGAAGACCCCCTCCATCGAAGGAACCCACGGAAGGGAGGACCTCTTCCGTGATTACTTTACTAGGGTCGAAGATGCTACCGGCCTGAGCGACTTGGAGGTCTCGAGGAAGGACTCGGGCGAGGCATCGAGCCTTTTCAAACGAAGCGCAGCATGCTCTAAATTGGGTAATCCTTAACTCCCTTTGTTGGTATTACCTTTGTGTTCATTTTTCTCTTCCCGTCTAACTTCTTTTCTTCTTTCTGCGTAGGCCTCAATGCTTAATCGGGAAGAATTTTCTCGGTCTCGAGCTGAGCTGAGTCGGTATGAGGCTGACATTCAAAGGCTTACCGAGGAGAGGAATGCCCTCAACCTTCTCGGTGGGCAAAAGAAGAAAAGATCAAGGACCTCCGAGCCGAGTTGGTCACGGCTCACAAAGATCAGACCGACCTGATTGAGAAAGTAATAAAAATCTTAAAAGCTCATGGGCTCGATTCGGGAACGGTGGCTAACATTTCAGTCTCACAACTGCAGCAGAAGGTCGAAAGGATCGAGCAATTCCACGAGAAGGTCGACATGATGAAGGCGGAGATCTTGGGGTGGAAAGAAAGTATGGACCGCTTTGCTGCTGAAACAGAGGCTGCTCGAGCCCAATTGTCGTCGGTCGAAAGTCAGCTTCGAGGCATGAAGGAGAAGAGCTCAGCCCAGGCAAAGAAAATAGAGGAGCTCGAGGGTCAGTTGGCTTCCGAACTTGCAAAGGCCAAATCTGATGCCGAAAAGGCAAAGGCCGAGGCAGAGGCGATCGTGGCCGTCTACCGGGCCGATGCTGAAGCCGCTCAAGTCCAAGCGAGAGAGGCATCCAAGACCGCTCAAACTCGAGCACATTGGATTGCTGAACTCGCCAAATGCCAATCTCGGGGGAAAACTCTCGAGGAGATCCACGCTCGAGATTTCGATCTTACCAACGAGATAATAAAGGCTTGAGAGCATGAAGCCGATGCTAGAGCGCTGGCCTCTTCCGGTGATGATGATGATGATGATGGCAGCAAGAGCGGGTCTGAGAATGGGAAGGACCTCGATGGAGAAGAAGCTGCCCCTGAGGAAAATTAAGAATCTTGGGCTTTTTCTTTTTTGATTTTTTGTGCGGGACCCTGGTCGGTCCTTGTAAATATCTTCGTATATATATAAAAGATCTTTTTTCTTTTTGACTTGTCTTTATTCTATTTTCTGCCTCGTGAAAATTCTATTTCATTCATGCCTTCATGCCTTATGGAGATTTTGCTCATAAGTTTGGGACATTAGGCAACTAGACCGAAGTCGGACTAGTGTAGTCTTAATCGAGTGAGTACTTGCTCAAACTCGAAGTAGGGTGACCCTTAGGTTTTAATTGAGTGAGGATGATTTCTCGAACTCAGAAATAAAATGACCATTTAGGCTCTTGAATTAGGCCGATACGACCATAGTAAAAAGAATGACTTTCTCCCCTTTTTTGGCTTGAAAAGTTTATTGTTTAATCATATAAAATTTGTTGTACCTTAGCATGAAATAAGGGATTTGCTCGAAAGTTCGAACTATTATTGAGACCCTTTGTTTCGTAATGCCTTAGCATAAAATAAAGAATTTGTTTGAAAGTTTGAACGACTTTGTACCCATTAGGCTTTTCGAGGGTCGATATTGTCGAGACCCTTAGTAATTCAGCCGAGGGCAGCCTTTTTAACCAGTTTATGAAAATATTCAAAGGCCTGTTTTATAACGGAAATCGGACGTCTCTGAACCGTGTTAATTTGGCCGTAGCCTTTAGCTTGGGATTCTCTTTTTGGGCTTGTTCCCCTGTTATACTTCAAACTTATTCGAAGTAACAGTCCCCGAGTGGGGTGGCCGTGACCGTGGCCTATAAAATCGAGGGTTACCTTTTTAAGGTCTTACAATCTCGAGGTTTTAGTAATTCGATCATATCGATTTTTTGGATGGCAGTCCCCGAGTGCGGGGTCAATTGTTCGAACTTTAGTTGTGACCGGCCTTTAAGCCAGTTTCCACAATAGATCACAAGCAAAACATTGTAAAGTAAACATTTCTCTAAGGAATGCAATATCTAGCAAGGAAAAAAAAATACTTTTTTTAATAGATTAACATGCGTACATGTTTGCCATTAGGGCTCGAGTAATATACATAGGCATGGTTCGTTCGACCGTTTGACCCTTACAAAATTTACCTATCGAGACCCTGTCGGCACAAAGTATTTTCCTTGTAACTATCCGAGGGTGATGCCCCCAATATTCGAGGTTGATTATTCGTAATTGGCAATTGAATTTATCATTTTTTTGTTAAATTATTTTTGGTATTACTATTGTTCTAAGATTATGTATTTCAACTAGTTTACTGTTATTAGCAAAAAGACGTAGAGTTTTGAGATTAAAAAAAGAGTTTATTCTACAAAAAAACATGTAAAATGCCACATGGATACTCTATTTGTGCATATTTTCTCGCTCTCACGTAATACAAAATGAGTAAAGTTGCTCTCAGTAGCACTTGGCATTGAATGTGGGGTTTTAGAAAGGAAATGGTATAGTTTAGGGGGCAACAACAAAACCCTATAGTTTAAGTATTAAACTTGCATAACGTGAATAAGTTAGGGGATATTAGGTATTAACTCTTTAAGAAAAGGTAAATAATTTTTATATTTCTAGAATATTAAATATTTTAAAATAAACTCATTTGCCAAGCTGATTTATATTCAAAATAGGGTGAATTTCTTAGATCTAATAAGTAATAGGAGTATGCTAAACATAGAGTAGTACTGCCATTACCACCATTTGATCCTATGTTGAAAAATCTGATTCTATCTTATAGATCATCGGTTAATAATAATACTACTAGGGGTGTTCATAAAAATCCGAAAAATTGAACCAAACAAAAAATCGAACCAAACCGACCAAAAAACCGATACTTTTTAGGTTTGGTTTGGTTTTGGTTTTGAATTTTAAAAATCGATCAAATTTGATTTGGTTTTAGTTTAAATAAAAAATAATCGAAAAAACCGAACCAAACCGACTATTGAAGTAGCTATTTAAATAATTATTTATATTTATATATATGTATATTTTTATATAAAATTTCTAAAATTTTATGATACACTTAGTCGTTTGTATTTTTAATCTAGTTCTTTGCTATTATAATAATCTAATTATTTGCTTTTACATTCTAGTTTGATGGTAGTTTTCTTTTGCTAAATATAAAAAAATATTTTTTGTTAAAAATAATTAATTTTTAATTGAGTAATTAAATTATTCATCACTATTTGATTCAATTATTATCCATACATCTTGGTAAATGATAGATTTCTCAAAGAACAATTGATTTGATAATGNTTTTTTTTTTTTTGTTTTTTTTTGCTGTTTTGTAAACTCTGCCCTTCCTCCCCCAATCCAATCCTTAAAGTAATCGTTCAAAAATCCTTACCAGAGTATTATTGGAAATGTGTTAAGGCTTGATTTCACTTCTACAATTTTGATTGCCACAATAATATTATCGTGGAGTCTGAGATATTATTCTAGAGTGTGAGGTGCAACTACTTTCACAATCTAGTATAGGAGCCAAACTAGTTAAAAGTTAAGAGCAAAAAAGGGTTTTAAGCGTAATTAAAGCGTTGATTTTGGCGAAGAAAAGCACAATAAAGAAAAGAAATAGACACACAACAAAAAAAGAAATTTAACGATAAACACAAAAACTAATTATCTACACAAAAGAATGTAAAATCTATAACCAAGCTATATATATGCAGTTGAAATTATGTCAATCAAGTTCAAATACCATTTTAAATTTCTGATTTAAATGAGAAGATATAATTGTAGGCTTTAGAGGCTTGTGGCTAATTTTCTTATATTAAATTTCTAATTTCTTATTGCTAATAACTAACAGTTCAGTCATGATTTTTTCTTAACAACTCATGTGTCAGTTTTTCAACTATATCTATTGCCTAGTGCTGTTGCTTTTAAAGATAAGAGCCAATCGGTGAAAATGCAAACCCCTTAGCACGTTGATGCTTACACTAAAGCACCGTTAAGCGAGACGAAGCTGACAACCTGAGCTTCAGGGCCTAAGTGCGCTTTACATCATTTGTTTGGATGACGTGATCCTCACTTTAGCTGTTTGTTAGGTGCATGCAAACTAGCCGTACCACCATTGTAAAAAAAAAATAGAGAAAAAATTGGATGATGTGATCCTTTTCTTAGATGAAATATGATGGATAATTTAACTGGAATTCCCCTTTTATGGTACTGTGCATGCACTGAAATAGGATTGGAAGAATTCCATGTGTTTCACTAGTCAACAAACTTGCATGCGTTGCTAGTGTGGATGACATAACGTCATCATGTCCGTTAGAGGAACTGTAGATTTTTATTCTCTCTAATGACTTTCCAATTGTGGAACTTCTCTATGTGTTTTATTACATGCTTGTGCAATTCCTGAATCCAAATTCAGCGAGTGAATACTTGATCTTAGGCAAAAGAGCCTCTTTTATGGTACTTTATACATATTAGGTTGTATACTTAATATCATATTTGCCATTTATTACAATAATCTAGTCAGATGAATTAATCTGCCAGATAAGGTGAAATGAAATCCTGATTACATCCTATTTTTGCACAACAAAGGTTAAATAGAACTAGACCTAAAATAGACAAACTAGAAAAGTAGGATTGGCAATGTCTAATCCTAGTGTCAAGTTCCCAAATAGGTTCTTACGATCTAAATAACTAAACATGCAAGACGTATATGTAACATTTTTGTTATCACACCCCCAAAAAGGAATAAGAAAAAGAACTACGTTCCAGCTGGCCCTCGAGGAGTTCTCGATTATTTAAAAAAAGAAAAATGTAACCTTTTTAAGAAGCTATGGTTAGAAGAGTCGTTGTGTTGATGATATACCTGCACTGAAAGCAGTTAAGAAAATAAAAAGAATAAGAAAAAGAACTACGTTCCAGCTGGCCCTCTAAGAGTTCTCGATTATTTAAAAAAAGAAAAAGAAAAAAGTAACCTTTTTAAGAAGCTATGGTTAGAAGAGTCGTTGTGTTGATGATATACCTGCACTGAAAGCAATTAAGAAAATAAAAAGGAGCATGTTCATTGTTGCCGCTATAAAGGCTGCTCTCCACGACGACGTTTATGTTCCTTGCGCAATGGGGTTCTTAGTGGTTAAGCCGGGTAAAGATCGTGCTTCCAAGTTTGAATGTTATATTGAAACATATTTCAGTGAAGATAATGATTTTTCAATTTCAGATTTCAAAAAAAACAAAGTGAATATGTGATGCTCGACTTTATAGAGCGTTTAGTGGCTATATCATATCAAAAGAAATTCGAACGGTCTATTTCCATAACTTTTCACAATACGATGGCATTATAGTAACAAGAGCTTTTACTTGTCGATTTTGATAGCGTATGTATCTTATATCTCATTAGTGAAAGAAACTTTTATTAAAATTTTTAGTTTTTTGCTTTAAGAGAGACTTGTCATAAATCAGGCGATTTATGTTTATAATCGTTGAAGACATGTTGCCGTCTAAAAAACTTTGAGCATTGCTTGTGGAAGCATTAGATACAAAAGGTTTAGAATGCAATGGCACCATAAATCTTGAAACTGGAATTGCATAACTACGTAGATGTTATTGAATTTCAGTGGTTGGAGAAAAATATCAATAAAAATACTTTTAATATTAACAGATAAAACATAATACTGTGCATCATTTTAAAGTTTTTGGCCCTCGGAGTTTCGAAAATGTAGAATGTTCGAGATGTCGCTCATTCGTCTTACTTTATTTAAACTTTGGAGAATTATTTTGTTTCATTCCTTACGTTGACATAAACAAAAGTTTTCATCTCCATTTTAGCGCAATTTCCATAGGTGCATTTAGTAAAAAAGGTTTCTTATGTGGGCTTAGTGCTTTGCAGCTTGTTGGTTTCCATCTTTTTGTTGACTGTGTAAAATCATTTACATTAATGCACACAAGTATGACGACAATAAACATAACGGTTTTGGCTTGCTGGAAGAACACTAGAGTTTGAAGCTAGTTGCAGCCAAGCTGTGTGCTTCACTTTGCTTAGGCGGTGCTCTAATGCAGGCACAAAGGCACTAAGATGTGCGCCACGTCGCCGGAGAACTATGTTTTGAAAAAAGTGGAACTAAACAATAAATACAGTTGGCAAAACTATGGACTGTTAATTATTATGGAAATGTTATGGATGTATATGTTAACAATTAGGAATAGGAAAATAGGATTTAGTATAAGAAAAGTTGCAAAATTTTAATTAAAAATTAAAAATTCATTGTTTGCATCTGAATCAGACTTTTAAATGTTTTAAAACTGAAATGGAGTTTTTTTTCCATATATTTCACTTAATTGCAATTTTTCCAATTCTTTTGTCTATATTACTATTTTTTGTATCATTCTTTAGAAAGGTATCATTCTTTTTGGAGAGGGAAAGGACTAAAAGTTCAAGTAAAAGAAGAATTCTTCATCAGCCAAGTATCCAACCTATCTCTATAATTAAACTGTTAGCTAGATTCATAAATTTTTTTTCCTTTTCAATTTCCTCCCATTATACTCTGAGGATCATAGTAGGAGCGGGTTTTCTAAAATTTGTTCCCTTACATGGGGAAGGGGAAGGGGAAGGGGAAGGGGAAGGGGAAGGGGATAGTGAGAATTCAATCCACGCCTATTGCTCCCACCGGTACCATTAGATTATAAGCCTTGGTGGTAGTAGAAGAGGGTTCTTTTTATAGAAATAGTGATGTTTGATTTTTGCTTCTGAAAACATTTGATGCTTTATGGGCATTTTAATTATGGATGTTGATGATACCTGTACTATATATTGTCTCTTTTTGTCTTCTTGAGCCGAGGGTCTTTCGGAAACAACCTCTCTACTCTCCGGGGTAGGGGTAAGGTCTGCGTGCACTCTACCCTCCCCATACCCCACTTGTGGGAACTCACTGGGTTGTTCTTGTTGTTGTTGTTGTACTATTTTTTGTTTTTATATTATTTTTTTCTATGTTACATATATGTGATATATATTTTATTTTTTAATATGCCTTTCTTTACTTAAGTGCGTCTAGAGCGTTATCAAAGGCGCAAAGCGCAAAAAAGCTCTAAAGTCCATTGGGGCGTTAAGCACAAATAAAGCACGGGCTTTAATGAAAAAAGGCGCGAGGGAGAAAAAGTACAAATATGTATGTGTAGTCCAAGACTAATAATAATAAGCATAAATAATAAATATATGGATAAAGAAATTGAAAAAAATTATAAGAAAGTGAAATATCAATTGTTTTGTCTCGCCTTTTCGGGATTATGCTCATTGGCAAGGAAGTATACCTTAGAACCCTGATGACGACACGGAAGTGTCCGCTAAGCGTGGGGAGGTGCTCAACATGTCTTGAGCCTCGCTTCAGGCTTAATCACGCTTTAAGCGCGCCTTTGACAACACTACAATGTTTACGCTTAAAACCCTAGCAGACCTTGGCGCTGCAGAAGCGGATACATAAAAGAAAAATGAGGACAAATGACTCACTTTGGAAAATATTCAATGACAAATCAGATGTCGTTTACAAGTATATGTTGTCACTTATACTTTTCAGTGTTGACTTCTTAATGTATCAACCCAGTAGTGTCTTCGTCGAGACTTCTATCCCTCGAGATCTTATATTACGTAATCTGTATTTAATATGGAGATATGTATGCTTTTAACATCTCTTAGAAAGATGAATAATTTCCTATCCAGTAGGCCGTTTCATGTTTGCGAAAAGAAAATCCCAAAACAGCTAAACAATCAAACATGTGGGCACTGAGAACAGCTTAGCAATCAACCTCATGTGGTTACTAGATTGCTACCTGGTGTTTGCTAAAACATTTAGCCTTTTATGGTTGATACCATGGAAATAATAGCTGACTGCTGGCACCTTGGCTTATTAACTTAAAATGACAATTCTCTCCACTAAAAAGATGTTATTGAACTGTCATTTCTCCTTGCTGCCAAGAAAAACAATATCTATTGAACTCTTTATCCTTTACTTGTTTGATATATGACTTCTTTTGCAGGTACCGCATACAAAGTGATAAAAAAGTTGCCATCTGCAGCGTCCACCCATCCGAGCAAGCTACATTGCAATGCCTAGGATGTGTGAAGGCCAAAATCCCCGTTGCCAAGAGTTATCATTGCTCGCCAAAATGTTTCTCAGATGCATGGCAGCATCATCGTGTTCTGCATGAACGTGCTGCTAGTGCTGTGAATGACAACGGAAATGCGGAGGAAGAATTATTTGGGCGATTCAATAGTACAGGATCTGGTGTTAATATGAGCTTGACTTCTTCGCAATCAAGCTGTAGCTTGACAAATGGAACGGCACCATTATATCCTGCAGCTGTAGCTCAAAGAAACGGTGGTGAAACTTGGTTTGAAGTTGGACACTCTAAAACTTACACACCATCTGCAGATGATATTGGTCACGTCCTTAAATTTGAATGTGCTGTCATCGATGCAGAAACCAAATTACCTGTTGGACATGCTAGTACCGTGTTAACGTCTCGAGTGATTCCAGCTCCATCTCCTACTCCACGTCGCTTGATTTCAGTTAATGGGCTTGATATACCAGTGCATCTGGACTTAGATAGTCGTTTATCATCTTCAGGAACTTTTACTGTGCTTTCATACAACATTCTGTCTGATGCATATGCAACAAATGAATTGTACAGTTATTGTCCCTCTTGGGCTCTTACTTGGACTTATCGGAGACAAAATCTATTGCGTGAAATAATTGGCTATCGTGCTGACATTGTTTGCCTTCAAGAGGTAGCTATAACATCAGATAAATTATAATATGTAATTACTTGATTGATCTACTTGGATCTTGTACCTCTGGATAGCTTTGGCTATGATAGACCAGGAGGTGTGAGAAATTTTTCATGTTCCTCTGGAGGGTAGCTTCGTGCTGCTATATAGTGATTTAGAGGAGATAGACCTTTTAAGAGTGTATAATAGCTTCTTTGCAATTCCTGAAAGGGTTACACTGGCCCCGGCACTTCATTAAAACCGCGTTACTGAATTTCCTTTTCCTGAAATATGCTCTTATTTAGGTCAAATAAATATATTTTCTTCCTGAATTTGATGCATGCATAATCAGTTTCTTCTTAAAGGATTTGTTTTTTTTTCCACATCTAGATATGTCTTCCAATATAATTGTCATGTTAAATGAGTGTTGTGAACTGCCTTCCTTTGGACTTATAAATACCTGTATCTGAATGCTGTATGTTTCCATTTTCAGGTTCAGAGTGATCACTTTGAGGAATTCTTCGCTCCTGAGCTGGACAAACATGGTTATCAAGCTCTGTTCAAAAGGAAAACAGCTGAGGTTCGTGGTGCTTAGTATGTTTTTGTATCTGACAGTTTTTGATTTTTAAATGACACTCTTTCTATATGCAGGTGTTTGGTGGAAATATAAATACCATTGATGGTTGTGCCACATTTTTCCGCCGAGATAGATTTGCACATGTTAAAAAATATGAGGTACGGCAGCTGTGTTCCTGTGATGGGCTTTAGTTCTTATAACATGATTCGTGAATTAATATTGTAACAAGAAATCTTCTTATGCTCTTGTTGCAGGTTGAGTTCAATAAAGCTGCTCAATCTTTGACTGAAGCCTTAGTTCCTAGTGCCCAAAAGAAGACCGCACTAAGTCGTTTGGTTAAGGTATCTTACCAAATTTGTCAAGTGGTTCCTTATTGTTTTTTGAAGAATTTCATTTCAGAACTGGGCTTATATCTCACTACTGTGCGCTTGACAGGATAACGTTGCACTTATTGTGGTTCTGGAAGCAAAGTTCAATAACCAGGGGATTGACAACCCTGGGAAGCGCCAACTTGTTTGTGTGGTAAGGAACTGGTGCTCCGTTCGCTTTTCCCTTTAGTGTTAAAATTCTGTGTTCTGTTCTGTGCTGTTATCTATGGAATAACTCACAGCCTGTTACAATGTCGCGTGACATCAGTTTGTCTTTTATTTCAAGTTGCTGTGCTTTTGACATTTCTGTAAATTGGCTTCTATCATCTGTATCATTTTTGTTGTATTGTTCAATTATCTTAGTGTCAAGAGCTTCTTACTGTGTCTTTTGTATTAGTGTAAAGAAACTGCACTGATGAATCAGTAGCTAGTTACGGACGCGGAATTTCCTTAAATGACTAATGAAATTATCAAAATAGATTTCTAAATTGGAGATTTTTGCATCTGGCCTGGAAATATTATGGATAGGGTCTGTAATGGGTACAAGTCCTATAAATGAAGGTAGTTTTCCTAGTGCTTGTATTTGCCTTGGTGTAGGTTTTTATGTTAAAGAAAGTTTATGATCTACAGAAGGTTGCACTTTAAATGATTATGGTCTGCAGAGGGTTTCACATTTTAATTTTTATGATGTGCTGAACATCTCATGTTTTCTTTTCGACTGAAGCACCATTTTGCATTATGGCATGTCCTGTTGCTGCCCTCGGCGTCATTTTAGGTTTTTGGCTGGTAGGCATATTCATTATAGGTCTTGGCTGACAGAGTTGAAGTCCCTTCAAGGCTTCAACTATTGTAGATTTGTGTCCTCTGGAGTACATGTGCATAATGCTTTTAAGGTTTCCAAAGTGATATCAGTTTGTCCTATTTGAAAGAATCCTGGTTTCTGAAATTAAAGAAGAATATTGATCTTTGAAATGAAGTGTAGTTGAAACAAAATATCTAGACTAATCATTGAGGGGGATAGTAAGAGAGCTCTGTGACTCAGTTGTGATGCCTGGAACAGTTTTCTTTCCATATGTAGTATAATCACTCTAGCAAGAAAATAGGATTGTTTAACTGGAATTTTTTGTGCGAATTGGTGTTTATTACACTCGTTACTTGTCCCAATTATTCTTTACTACATTTTCATTCCCAATATATGTTCTTCCTCATTAGCTCTCTAACAAAATTTAATTAATCGGTCTCTACCTTGGTAGCTTGTTTATTCTTAATTTGTGTATGACGTTAGCCTCAAGGAAACTGGAGAAGTACTACAGTTTTGGAAATATGCAAGTTAAGAAAGAATCATCTTCAAACAATTAATGTTATCGGGAAAAGAGGGAATATCATCACTCTAGCAAGAAAATAGGATTGTTTAACAGGATTTTTTTGTGCGAATCGGTGTTTATTACACACTCATTACTTGTCCCAATTATTCTTTACTTACGTTTTCTTTCCCAGTATATGTTCTTCCTTATTAACTCTTTAACAAAATTTAATTAATTGGTCTCTACCTTGCTAGCTTGTTTATTCTTAATTTGTTCATGACGTTAGCCTCAAGAAAACTGGAGAAGTACAACAGTTTTGGAAATATGCAAGTTAAGAAAGAATGATCTTCAAACAATGAAAAGAAAGAATAATCTTCAACAAAAACTGCTAATTTAGGAGCAACCTAAGAAAGACCTGCTAGCTCCTGCTCATAGCTTGCTTAGAAGTTTACTCCTCACTCTGTTTCAGACCACGGTAGAAAATGAAATTCTCCTCTCTTCTTACACACATATTTTTCCATTTTCCATTTTTTTTGCAGCTGGGGTGTCGTGTGGGAGCGATATCAGAACTGATTTTAGTAACTGATGGCAAGATGCTATTAAATGTCAAATCTCTTCCCTGCCAATAGGCAGTTTTGGCTTCTGAGCATTTTTGCGATCTCTTTCATTAGTATTTCATGAAACAGTCCTGGTGTGCATGGACCATGTTGCAATAAACTGACAGCGGGACAAACCCATATCACACTATGGCTGCGCTCTATGTTAAAGTGCCATGTTGTACCAACTGCGTTTTTTTACTTGTGTTGCCATTTTTACCCTATACATGATGCATGGATGTTGGCTGTGATTGTGGTATCATTGACGAAGTACCATGGAAATGACAGTATTTCGGCTGTCATATTGGTAATTTACACAGATGCCCGGAGTAAATAATAGGGCATTGTGTGCACCCAAGGGTGTAGCTTAGTGGCCAATGAAGTGAGTGAGAACTATGAGGTTTCAGGTTCAAATCCCAACGGAGGCAAACACATTAGATGCTTTCTTCCCATTTAGCCACGTCTTGGTGGACAAAGTTACCCGGGAGCTGACAAGTATCCCGTGGAATTAGTCGAGGTGCGCGCAAACTGGCCCAGACAACACGATTATTAAAAAAAAGTTATAGGGCATTGTATCTTTTCTCTTCTAAGGAAGTCAGTTTCCTTGAAAATTATTTCTTTTATTGGAGTTACCATGCTGTGGTGAACTTGCAATTGATCTGGAGAAAAATTATCTTCATTACAAGTTTTTGCTTGGTGCTTATTACAGAAATCTCTTGCATGTTATTTTGAAGGTTGGAGCAGCCAAAATTTATCTTTTAAATTCTCTTATTCTGGGGCCCACTTAAATGTAGGTAGTAATATTCTCCTGTTCACGCATGTACTGAAAATGTTCCTTCATTTCTGAATGCAGGCCAACACACATGTAAATGTTCATCAAGAGTTAAAGGATGTTAAACTTTGGCAGGTTACTACTACGGATAAGATATAGAATTGTTCACTGTCTTTTCTGGGTAAAAAACGTAATTGGCAGTTTGTTTACATTTCAGGTTCACACACTTTTAAAAGGACTAGAGAAAATTGCTGCTAGTGCTGACATTCCAATGCTAGTCTGTGGTGATTTTAATTCAGTCCCCGGAAGGTCCGTTTTTTTCTTGATTTCAAATTCCATGCCCCTTATCGGCATTGTTAAGAGTTGTACCTCCATTCCTTCCTCATTTTATGCAAAAGCAAGCTGGAACAGTAACATTACTGATAAAAGCTCTTGGCAATGCAGTGCTCCTCATGCACTTCTGGCAATGGGGAAAGTTGATCCAATGCATCCAGATTTAGCAATGGACCCTCTTGGTATTTTGCGTCCAGCCACAAAGTTGATGCATCAACTGCCATTGGTATCACTTCAGTAACTTTAGAAAGCTCCCATTTTCCCTCTTATCTTTCAAACTAGATATGTTTGCTTCCCCATGTTCCCTACTCTTCCAGAGAGCAGACTGGAAAAAATATGTATTTTTTGTATTAGACTCCCTTGGTGAGAAGACTAAATAAGCTCCTTGACCATACAACTCACATTTTGTTTATATTGGTATATTTCTGTACAGGTCAGTGCTTACTCATCCTTCGCTCGAATGCCTGTGGTTCTTGGACTAGAGCAGCAACGGAGGAGGATGGATCCTAGTACCAATGAACCCTTGTTTACAAACTGCACTAGAGATTTTATTGGGACTCATGATTATATATTCTATTCTGGTATTGTTGCATGATTCTGTCCAAGACGTGTTATATTTTTGTCTTTTATTCCCTTGTATGCTTTCTGCATGCAGTCGTAATTTTATTTAACATTATAAATTTATGTACCTATCTATAGATTTTTATGTTTAGTCTGATATGCGTGGTGGTTTGTTATGTGCTTTCAGCGGACTCTCTAACTGTTGAATCGTTGTTGGAGCTCTTGGACGAGGAAAGCTTGAGAAAAGATACAGCACTTCCTTCTCCAGAGTGGTCCTCCGATCATATAGCACTCTTAGCTGAGTTTCGCTGCAAGCCTAGAACTAGACGCTGACAATTGGTATGCAATATTTCTGTTAATTTTGGTTTCAAATACATATTGCTTGTTTAACCTAGCCCTTTTCTGTTGTCGACTAAGCATTTTGCCCTTTGAGGTTTACTTTGTTACCAGAAATATAGGGGAATGATAACTTATATTCATTTGGTGCAGGTCTTGCTGGAGGATGAATTGAAAAATAGAAGAACAAAAAGTCAAAAAGGAGAAATATGTCAATTGTAAGAATGGTAACTAATGACGTTGGTATCCCGTGGTGGGGTAGCTGCTCAGCTTCTTTGTATCATGCCACCTTATCATCACATAGAAAATTATGATAGTTTTTAATCAATCTTTCTTTAAATTTTCAAAGAGTCATCCGGTTCGTGTCACTATATGTTCTTTAGACTAAAGGCACAATGGGAAAAGGGTTACAGAGTTCGAGTAGAAAAGCTTAGGGGTAGAGGAGGAAATGTAGTTCAGTTTTGTGGATTTAATTTACTGAAAATCCTGAGTGATGTATAAATATATACTCCAACGTTATAAAGATAATAGGGCATGGGCGTTTCAGGAAATTGGCATAAAGATGGGTATATTTGCTATACNCCAAAAAAAAAAAATTTAATTAAAAAGTTTATAGTTCTCAACTTGAAAGTTGAATACCTAAATATCTGCAATACACGGTGTTTGACGTCAATTTTAATTGGTTCCCAAATCCATTTTCCAGAGTGTAATGCATGAAAAAGAAAGGAAACAAGAAGAAAAATAAAATAAAAGAAAGAAGTAGAAGTAAAAGAACGTAAACGTAATTGACAGTACAAAGCTTGAGAACTTGATGAAGTGTATAAGAATGTCAATATCTCAGAATCTTTTAATTGTAAAACTTGGAATAGCTACTCACAAGAAACCTTATTTTAAGCCAAGTATTGCCAATCAGTTCAAAATCTTGCTCCACTCACTGACTTGCTTAATTTGGCTTTTGACATTCGATCCACCCCCATCTCTTGAATCTTACCTAATTTTCTGGAAAATTAGGGAGCTCTAGGTATTTTATATAAAAGCGTTCTCCCTCTCAGGGCAAAAACCCACCCAAAAAAAGAACAAAAAATAGAAAAAGGACAGAATTAAAGACTTTAACGTCTACTCATGGCATTCCCTAGTGTTACAATATCAAACTTTTTACTTATGTTGATGATTGGTTTTGCAAGCTCTGATTTTGCGGAGGATAGAAAAGAGTGCCAAAACCAACTGCTTCATCTATCATCTTGCTTGTCTTATGTTGGTGGAGATGCTCAACTTCCCACCCCAGCTTGCTGTGCCCAGCTCAGAAAAGATCTACACAAAACCAAATATTGTCTTTGCCTTATTGTCAAAGACAGAAATGAGCCAGATATTGGCTTCAAAATCAATGCCACCTTAGCACTCGGTCTGCCGTACATCTGCGGTGCTCCAACTAATGTTTCAGAATGCCCTGGTACGTAATATTGTCCGTTTTGAGCTAGGATCTCATCACTTTAAAATATGTCCAAAGCTTGTTTCTTTATATGCTTAGCATCTCTCCTGTGTTCTGTGAGATTTACCTAGGATAGTTACATATACTCCTGCAGACAAATTATTTCATCCTTACTACTAAAACTGTGGTTCATTAATTGACTTTACTAATATTTGAAGCTAATTCTACTTCATTTGTTCTGTGATAGCACTTCTAAAACTTGCTCCTAATTCACCGGACGCTCAGGTTTTTATCGACTTCGCCAGCCACTCCAAAACTGGAAACAATACAAACATAGGCGGTATAGTATACAATTTTCTATAACTAGGGTTTACAGCATAGCGCTGTTATTTCAACACTAATCCAGTTCTTAACAGCTTTTGACAATTTGGTCATTGCAGATGTCCAGTCAAGTTCAAGTATCAAATTTAGCAACAAGAGATGGTTTGCTGCAGGGAGAGACGTTGGTGTTGCATTTTGTGTTCTGATATTTGTTATGATCACCATGATTTAGGAAAAGATACTTGAACTTTATATGCTAGAACTATGATCCTTTTATCTTGTGAATAAAAATGTCAATCCACGTTCAATCTTATCATCTTTTCTTGCGGTTGTCAATATCTATTTGGTTCAGAATCGTACTTGAGTATAATATTTCTTGAAACGTGACAACAATCACGAAATTAGCCTTCAAGCATGAGCAAAAATTGTATATGAGATCATCCTTCAGTTTCAACGAATCAACCAGCCGTTTTCCAATTCGTCAACCATATCATGATCACCACCAGTTTCATGGTTTTCTGTTGTGTTACCCGAATAATACCAGAAATTTGTGAAAATTGTGTGGGTGTCACGGCCCGAAATTCCAACCGTGGGGCCGTGATGACACATAACATTCACTTACTAGGCAAACCAACGTTGGCTAATTAATTAACCTTTTTAACAATTTAAAAGCAGAATAGTAAAAATTAACGGCTGATAAACTCTAAAATACATGAGATAAATACCAAAAGTAACACAGTCTATACTAATCCCAGAAATCCGGAGTCACAAGTACATGAGCGACTAGAATACTGCAAATATAGTCTAAATGAAATACATCTGTCTGAAATAAGATAAACAGAAAAATAAGGTAGAAGGGGATTTCAGGGTCTGCGAACACCAAGCAGCTCTACCTCAAGTCTCCTGGACAAGTCAGATCCGAGCATACTCCTCTACACACCGCTGGGACCAATATCGAGATCTGCACAAGAAATGCAGAAGTGTAGTATGAGTACAACCAACCCCATGTACTCTGTAAGTGTCGATCCTAACCTCGACGAAATAGTGACGAGGTTATGATATGACACTCACTATAAACATGTACGAATAATAATAATAATAATATAAAACAGAAATATAGATAAAGTAGTAAACTCATAAATACGGGGACCCGAAGGTCAACTAACAAAAGGCCCTAGAATAACATCATCTCGAAACCTCATATCACAGTATAAAAATAGAGTACTACAACTACCTACAATCACTATTAGAAATTCGGCAAAAACCGACCAACTTTGGTCGGTAAAAAAACCGACCAAAGTTGGTCGGGTTTTCAAATTTCTTTTTTTTTTTTTT